TGTAAACTATAATTATAGTAGTTGTGTTGCTTCTAAAATCAATGTAATAACGTTTAATAAATTATGAGAGAATTGCTAGGAATAGTTAAAAATTATGATTATATTATATTATACTATTAATATCATATTTTTATTAATATAATAAATATAATTATATCAATACAATATAATATATAATATTATTATAAAATAATAATTATAATATCGTATTATTGAAATAATTATCATATTATATGATAACATAATAATATTAGAGTTATTAATATAATTATGATATTATTTGTTACAATATTATTATTATATTATATTATATTATTTTACGAGTCTAAATTTTAGATTGGAAAGATTTTAAATTTTAAATTTCATTAGGAGTATTATGGGTATTATGAAAGTTTCATTAATTGTACTATGCTGATTCCCGCACAATCTAAAAGCTAAAGTTGTCTTTAGGCTGCTTCTGATTTTGGCTATAGAGTCTTAAAAAATTCTTCAAAAAGCACATTTGAGAAGATTTACTAAATACTAAAATCAGCTTCTACTACAAGCAGAAGATTTTTGGATGGAAAAGTAATACCAAACTAAGCCTAAGTAGATAAGTCTTTAGCACACTGTAATTTTAAAATTGTACGTGTCAAAAACTAACTCTAAGGTAAAAAAATTGTTGTTTGAATCTAAAATGACCAAAACCAAAATGGATTCAATTTGATATTACTACTTTTTAAGAAGTCTCGTATATTTTATTTTTTCTTGGTTACTCTTATACTTTTTTAATTAAATATTTAAAGCAACTCTATAACCTTTCTTCCTTTTTTTTTTTTTTTGGTCTTTTACTTTGACGCAAAATTGAGCCTAGAAATCCACTTTAATGTTCTATGATTGGTAAAAAGAGCACATTAGCCTGTGTAGTTTGGGATTTCATAATAATTAGAATCACATTCAAAACATTCCATCAGTATCTCCCAACATCGTTATAAAACACTTGGAACAAACAACATGCAATTACAAGACACTAAGAAGAAGAAGAAACAAACTCCAAATATGGAAGAACAGTTATTCTAACCAACTCACCTACATTTTTCTTACACAACTGGACACCTTACAGCAGGGCACTCAAAATCTCATTCCAAGTATCAGGCACCCCAGGAAGGCACCAGTGGCTGCAGTCGGACGAAAAGTTCCCCGGGTGCTGCCTCTCTTCCTGGCCCAAAGCCCTTCTGTAGACAGAAGGATGGCCATCTCTTCGAAAGGCGGACAATGTGGTTACGTCTTGTAGATATACTGGGAATCTCATCTTTCTTAACACCCCTTGTAGTACTACCAATTCCTCGGGAACATGTGGGTGACTAAAAGCGGCTAGAGGCTTCTTTTGATTATAGCATTTCCAACCATTTTCCCTGCCAGAAGATCACAAACATAAGAGTTCTATCGATACTTGAAATTTGGAGACATGCTTAGGTTTGTAGTTGTGTGTAAGAATTTTGAGCCGTACCTGTTGTGCCTAGGCGACATGCTCCGAAAAAAGACGCGGGTTTTATGAGGATCCAGATTTAGATCTACCCATTTTGCCCATGTTGTGAGTCCTTTTTGGTAAGCAACCATTGGATTCATGCTTTTAACGAGAGTGTGTCCTTCCATGAAATAATCCCACCTGAATTTAGTTACAACAATTCAATTAGGATCACATAGGATTCTTGAGCGTGACATTATGCCAATAAAAAAGAAAAGAAAAGAAAAAAAAAAAAAAAACAATTAACACTAGAGGAATCCTGTTTCAATAACTTTTTGAGAATATAGTTAGTACCTTGGTTTTATAAGATAAGATATATAAAAAGAACTAAAAAGAAATCTCCATGGTCTTACATCTCTGATATGATCACAAGAATGTTATACTGGATTATATTTTCTTGTTTAGTTTTTGTTCTTCATTAAGTTATGAATATCAAATGAGTTAAAAAGTGAATGATGCAATAAAAAGGATGAATGCGAAAAATTCTCTTACGAACTCCATTTGTCAGAGTGAGTCCACCAATGAGCAGAGTCAAACAGAAGAACATCAGCTCCTCTCCAGTACTTTGCATTTTCTTCAATGGAATCCAAATGCAAAATCCTCTTGTTTCCAGCTTCTCTCTTTAACTCCACTAGGAGTGGGGCCCATGTGAACTCAATTGATGTTTCATAATCCTGCATGGGAAAAACTATAATCATGTTAGACTTTGACATTATAATATAAAGAGTTGTATAATCAAATATTATTTTTCTAAATATATAAATTGGTCACGAAATAGCTAAAGCATTACCATGGCATGGAATGCCATAGAAGGACCATTATAGATAACCTTCTTTCGGCCAGTTGGAATGACTCCTTGCACTAGGCAGACGAGTGATTCCCATTGATTTCTCACTATGGAATCACCCACCAACATTATTCTCTTCTTTTTCATTTTTGCAAGAAATTTCAGTGCATTAAACCTGTATCACAAAAAAACAGAAAGAGAGAGAGAGAGAGAATTATTAAGCATTTTGCATTGCACAGATTAAGTAATATAATTCAAATAATGTAAGACTTTTTTTCCTCCAAGAGAAAATGGTCAGAGTGCATAGTTCCACAGCTATCTTGACCATCATAAGTTGTTAATTACTCATCATAATTAAAGTTCAACAGCATTTACGTCTGACTATGCATTGACATAAAAAATCAGATTTACTACCACAAAATCACTCTCTATGCACAATATACCGCGGCCAGATCGTAATGTACCATGAAATTGACATATCTCTTCACAGAACAAACTTTTGTACACGTTAAAAAAAAATCATGTGTACCATACCTAGAAGGCTAGTACTGCAAAATGAAGCTATATTGCCTTACATATTTCATGCACTACTTAGAACAATAAGAGGACACAAAAGTGGTTGCATAACAGTAACTTTACATTCATGCCTCCAACGTTGAGATCTAATAGTTCGAATCTCTTAGGGTCATTCAGTTCGCTGATTCAAGTTTTTAATTCGAGTTGAGATATGACTTTATGTGAGAATTTTTTTTTATTGTAGCAAAAAAGTTAGATGTAACTGTTTCTAAGAGCTTTTCTTGTAGCAAAACTCGAATTCTAAACTCGAATTGGTAAAATAAACGGGACTCATTCCCATAATTTTATAAATTAGTACCCGCATGAAATTATCAAAAACAAAGCACAGGGTATCAAACGCATGTTACTTAGGATAATCATAATAAGAGGACCCCAAAACTACAAGTAGTGATCTTCTAAAAAAAAGAAAAAGTGATGAATGTTTACCTTGGAATTGAGCAGCCATTTGGCTTCCACCTCCACTTCTGGTAATCAGAATCAGGCCTCCCATTCTTCTGGCACGTCACGGCCGTACTGAGATACGGACAGTTGGAATCGTAGAGAGGATATGACTGATCAAAAACCCATTTCCCAGATGAGAAATCGCATCTCCTTTGTCTGTTTTGCCCACTTTGCACCATAACAGCCTCATCTTCCTCGCTAAGCCAAGACTCGTCTTCATCAACCTCGAACTCCGAGGACTTCCCATGAAAGAAGCAGAGAAAGATGCAGAGCAAGAACAGAAGTTGAAGCTTTGGCTTAGCCATTGAGTTAGTTTTCTCTCGGAGTGAAACTGAAAACGGTCCCAATGAAGAGTGGGAAAATTAAAGGGCTTCGTGATGAATAGTCGTAGGTACTAGGCCGTGTTTAGTTAAGGCATGACTTGCGGTGAAATGTGGGCCATACTGCAATGTTCTTTTTTGCTCTCGCTCTTTTCTTTTCTTTTTTTCCCCCCACTCATTGCCATTGTTTCTGGTAATTGATGTGTTTGGTGTTCTTTTTCATTATGGTGGCACATTCTTCTGCTTGTGCATGTGTGAAAAAGAAGAGAGAGAGAGAGAGAGAGAAAGAAAGAGAGGTAGAGTGGAAGGTCTTTGGTGGTTGAACGTTAAAGATAAGAACTTTTGGTCACCGTGACTTGCGGTGTCTCGTGTAGGCCATGCAAATTACTGGTTTCGTTTTTCAAATGTCAAAAAGGTTTACAGAGGTAATCATAAAAGAATGCTGATACACACACGTATATATATGCACACATACACAGAGATATATATACATGTATATTTATATGGCAATTAACATTTCTGTCTATGAACTATGAGCATTGTGTTAACTTTTTTTTTCCCTCTTAAATTACTCTCTGAACTTTGATTTATTAACAGTTTTAATTATGACACTGAAATTGATGAATGAATTTTGAAATTTCACAAAGATATCAACGTCTCAATTGCGTAGTAACTATTTTTTTTTTTTTTTTTTTTTTCAAAACAGTTGAATTAAGTACAAAAATTTTAATAGTTTTTAAGGTATTTTTTATTTTTTATTTTTATTTTTAATCATGAACTATACACGTTTATCATCCTTTTTTCACTCTAAATATTATAACAGGAATGCCAGGCTACCCTGCGGGGGCGTACTAGTAACACTATCCATATTATATCAGATTAAGACATACCATCTATACAAGTGTTTTGAGTTTCATATCAATATTCAAAAATCCTAGCAAATTTACTCTATGATCTTTCTGTTACCAAAAAAAATAATAATAATAATAATAAAAAAATAGTATTGTTAGGACTTAGGAGATACTAATATTCATACTATAGAATAAGCTAAGTAAGCAGACTCTTGTTCAATGTCCATTTTCTGTAAACTCTTAAAATAAGAGCCCATAACAAGCTTTCTTCCACAACGAACATAACATCATGAGACTTCTGTATAAAGGCATTTTTTAAAATTTTTTACCTTGAAACATTACGTACAAGCTTAACACAACATATTGAACAAAAAAAAAAACAACAACAACAACAAAAAAACAAAAAAAAAAAAGAAAAAAGAAAAAAGACACCACACATACATAGTGAAAGAGAAGTTTCTTTAACTGCTACAAGCATTGTCACTGCTAGTAGTACCTGACACCAGGCAATTCTCATCTGTGTCTAAATAAGTTACTTCAAGCTAAATGGCAATATTAATGTCAAGTAAGATTGACCTCAAATGATTGTATCTGGAGATCAGAAAGAAGCTTATTTAAGCTGTACTCTGCTGTCTGTTCTGCTGCAGGAACGTGCCTATGATAAAGATCATTTTACAGGACCTTTTCATGTATTAAATGCGCATCTATTTTGATGTACTTTGTTCCGAGAGGCCATGGATCCATCTCTGATCAGATTAAACACCAATTCCATGATCTCTCTCATTGGCAGCTTTAGCCAAAGCCATCTGAGAAAGACCCCAATAGATATTGGTATAAGCTATTACGATCAAACGAATTCCAGGTCTAGTAACCGCATTGCAGAGCACCCTGCAGAGTCTCGCTTACATAAAATACGATTTTTTCTTGTAAATCAGCCAACTATGAACTACCAACCCACCTAGATCGCTGAGATGGAAGGAATGTGCTGCACTTTATAAACATCTTCCCTTCAAATCCATCCTCAAATCTAAGCCTGTCCACAAATGAACTATCCATGCATAAATTAAGTTCTCAAAGGGAAGTGACAAATTTCAACCCTTCTGGAATCATCCGGAACTTAGGAATTCAATAGATGTACGAGTAATCTGTGGGCAAAGAAAACCATTTCAGACTCGATGTACGAGTAATCACCTAACTGAAGAAACCTCAAATTTGGTAGCTTCTCCAGGAGTACCAATCCATCCTGATTAATTTCGGATCTCCTTAAGACCAATTTGGTAAGGCTTGGCGGCATAAATTGCAGAATTTTACAGAAATCAAAGGATATTGGGTCTAACTCAACCTAACAAAACCGGCTTGTTAAGGGAGGATTGCCTTCACTTTATTAAGTGGATCATGCCAATATCTCCGGGCAATGTGGGATTCTAATACGCCCCCTCACGCACAGCGTGGACCGTGCCAAACCGATGCGAATAAGTCGATATTGGGGGGCCCAACATTGCAAAACTGGGCCTGCTCTGATACCATTTTACAGAAATCAAAGAATATTGAGCCTAACTCAACCTAACAAAACCGGCTTGTTAGGGGAGGATTGCCCTCACCTTATTAAGTGGATCATGCCAATATCTTCAACTAATGTGGAATTCTAATACAGAATATGATGATTCCATTGGAGATCATTTCGTATCTTCCCCTTTAAAACTAGCTTTGTGAAACATGACAGTGAGAGAGCGAATGCAAACTTGGAAATGCATTGTCAAATGGCATAAACATAGCCAATGATCGAAGCCGACCTGATTCCACCAAAGGACATTCAAGGAACAGCCTAACATCATCATCATTTTTAAAATGTATCCCTAAATCTCTAAGATTTGTCAGTTCGTGGAGTGCAGCATCATACTCAGATCAATGCCTTACGTACTTCAAAGTCTCAATGCTTGTTAGTTTATCCATTCGAAATTACTTCTTGTCCAGCTTGAAAGAGTATACCCACCGAAAGGCAATAAAAAATGTCTCAAACATGTCAACCTTGATACTACCTTGGGTATTCTTATACCTTCATTGTTTCGAAGATCAAGAGAGTGCAAATTCCGCAAGTTGCCTATGGATTGTGGCAAGTTGAATATCTTGGCATCTTTGAGGCCAAGGTACCTCAAGTGAATTAATTTTCCAATTTCTCTCGGCATTTGACAAGGATGTGTGCCTCGAATAAAGCCAAGTTCCAAGGCTCGTAACAACCTGAAATTCTTGCTCTTCAAAGGTAATGTAGAATCACACTATACACCAAAGCATAGCAAAGAACGGAGACGAGGATGCACTTGTTCGAACATCAGTGCAGAGTATTCAAGGCGCTGACCGAGATGAATTGCAATTCTGCGTGAACGAGCTGCAGACAATTGTTAAAATGAAGAAGAACCAGTTGTCTTCATGCTCATCCCATGCTGGACAATCTCACAGAAGTTGTCCTCCCTAGCCTTAGACAAACAGAAGTCGCTCATAAGATCGCGAACCCGACATGTTTTAACACCCATCCCCGTGTAGTCCCTCTTGCTTTCTTGAACCATACACCTATCAATCAACTCTCCCAAGTATTCTCCTGCTACATCTTCAATCGCCTCCTCTACCTCTCCTCCATTAGGAGTCGATACAAAGCCTTCTGCAATCCATAGTCGAATCAATTTTCTTTTTGGTATCTCCTCTGGAAAGCTTCCTAAATAAAGAAAGCATGTTTTCAAGTAGCAAGGCAGATCATGATAACTCAATGCTAACATCTCTTCCACTCCAAATTGTTTGATCACACTTGAACTCACATTTCTTTGCACGTTCTTCCACTCGTCCAAAGAAGCCTCCAAGTACAACAATTGCAAGAGGTGATCCTCTGCATATTTTCACCATTTCCTTTCCCAACTTCTCGAATTCCGACGGACAACCACGCTCATCAACAACATCTCTTGGAAACGCTTTTGCACGTAGAAGCTCCCAACTCTTTTCAAATGTCAAAAACGGCGCAGACAACGCTACTTCCTTGTTGCGCGTGGTAAATACGACTTTGCTCCCCTTCTTTCCTTTTGGAAAAGCAACTTTTATACCATTCCAAGCCTCAATCCTCCAAATGTCATCAAGAACCACCAAATACCGATTTTCCCTTAAACTACCTCTAATCCTATCAACCAACTGAAAATCACTCAAATTTCCCAAACCCTCTCCTCCACTTTACCGTTCAACTTGTATCAATATTTCATACAAAACATCCCTTAACACAAATTGCTGAGATATAAACACCCAAGCAATCAAAATGTCTTCTAACATCACTATTGGGTTGTTCTTTTGCATTTTTGAGTTAGACATTCTTGAGTAAAGATCTTGTGTTGAGTTTAAATTATAACTTGAGTTGAAGTTATAACTTAAATTTATGTTTGGTTGTGTACATTTAAGTTATGGTTTGAGATAAAAATCTTTTTGAGTTTATGTTTGAGTGAGTCAAAACTTAAATTTATATTTAAATAGTATTTTAATAAAAACTCAATGGTGATGAAAAATTTTAATAGGGTATATGGGTGGGATTTTATTCGTATTTTAGTTGTCAACGCATAGAAAAAAATCATCTCAATCAGAATTAAAATGAAAAAGTTATAGCATTTTTAAGAATAGAAAAAATACTGTTCATTAATTTGAGTTCGAGTTTCTAAACTCGAGTTGAAGGGGAAACTTAAACTCGAGTTTTAGTCCCAAACTCAAGTTTATACTCGAGTTCAAACTTAAAAGAACATGAACTTAAATAAAATTGTAACTCGAGTTGTCTTTTTTTAAGTTTTTAACTATGCCGAACAACCCCTAAAAATGTAAGAAAATTTCTATCTTTCTATAAAAGTGATTAGATTCATCCATATAAATTTAAGTTAATTTTAATATTAATTAATTAAATTAATCAATATGTGTATTTAGAATTCTCAATTTAAATTAATTTTAATGGAACCGTTGAGAGAAATTATGGACATTATAATTTTAAATTCCAATAATTTTGACAATTAATTAACACCTTAATTAATATATCAAAATTATTAATTCCAAATTACTCCACTATAAATTTGGAAGTACACTCTTAAAATTATAAAACAATTATGTTCACGGAATTTGTGTTGTCTATTGATATAGTCACTACATACGAATTAATCCTCCATAAACGGTTCA